CTAGCGGCTAAGCTGGTTTCCTCGTCCGGCGATAGACGGGAGAGCACTTGGCTCTGGCAGCGTCTGGCTAATGTCATAACCCGAAGGAACGCAGCCTCAGTGGCGTTCACTTTACCCAGCTTCGAAAAAGAAGAACTCGTGCAAGCCCATTGCAGAGACGGCATGTCACGACAGCCTGCAGCTCTGTCAAAAGAAGAGACAGCAAACGCCACGTCTCCCAAGAATGAGATTGGCGGGAGAACGCGGCCTGCGATACAGCCACCCGGCCCTGCTGGTCTCCAAACATGACCTGGTGCTGACCGAATCCCCGCAATTCGAGGAGGTTTTTCCCCGCCATGCCCGCCATAGCCGCCATACTCATACCCATCCATACTCCCGCCAGCTTATCGCCTATTACCGCCCATACTACCTAAGTTTGGTGGTGTTTCCATCACCGAATAAACTTATCTTTGTAAAAAAACTGAAAAAACTTTTTCACAATGAAACAGCGGCGCTCGCAAAGGATCTGGCTAACGATCTGCCGACATGCTTTCCAGCTGGACCTTACCCAAAACTGGACCGTTCTCTAACTTTGTCCTATGTGGATGAAGAAGCTCTGTGTATGAAGATACATTTACTTGTCAAAAAGTTTGATTTTATTATTCGTATAGCATGGCAAAGCTACAATTTTGCAAGGCAATTCAGTTTGGTCGCATTTTTCACCTCTATGCCATCCAGTTGGGCGATTTTGTAACACATGCATGCCGGGTTTCAAAGGTAAATATCTGACGTCTGGTGTGGTATATTTAATAACGTGTTTGATATTGAGAGGGAATAAAAGCGTATGGTATGCTTGTGAAGAAAAACATTCTGCTACGGCCAACAAGCACGTCCTGGCGACATAACATCTCTGAGACTTCCTTCGGTGTCCATTTTCTTTCTGCTTGCCTTGAGATGAACTATGAGATTCGACGTAATGAAAGCTTCTTCGCTGTCAAATTTTTGAAAAAAAGAACAGGCCATCCTCATCACAAAACTAATGAATCAGTCCACATACACAATCTTGCGCCCCTTCTTATAAGAAATATTTCTTCCCGGAGAATCACGTGTTCTTTATCCGCGGAAAGCTGGTGCATGTTATCCCCTGTGATTTCTTGCAATTTGTTCGGTCAAGTGTGTGCCATTTAATCACATGTGTTCTGGGAAAATGTGCTGTAAACACTGGCTGGTATCTGAAGCTTTTCTCATAAAGATTTGTTAGAAACCGTTTGCGTTTGTAATTTGGAAACTACAAAGAACAAATTACATCTGTTTCAAAAGACCAGCGCGCGTTTTAGCATCGAAGTTGAAAAACTCGATGCCGTGTGCTATTTGTCGTCGCCAATCAGCTATGTTTCCAATGCCGTGCGGGAAATACGCTCGAGCGGCTTTTAGCACCCCCATACGCCGAACGTTGACGTGATGTCAATGGGGTCTTGACACAGCGAGCGCAGCGTGCGACTCCGCATGGTGCTTATACAATATGAATATTTTGCTTGCCATTATCTTTTGGTTACAGTTGTATTGCATGCCACATTTAAGGGGAATAGCCGTCCTTTATTCTTCTTTCTTCTGTGCCGTTAAGTGTGTTACGTCGTCAGTCAGTTAACTTTGTGTTCGGAAAACTTGGCTTTACTTGCACCGCTCACACTGAGCGGGGCGATAGCGTCAATGTATCAAGTCAAGTTCAAGCGGTCAGGCTCGCCGCTCCCGCTGCTGCCGTTTCTGCCGGCACCGGTTTCTGTGCCACCCATGTGCACGTGCCCAGGCGCGCACCCACCCTGGACCTTGGTGAAGTAGAGGTGGCACTTGGTGGGTGGCACAGGGTTGGTGCGAGGCAGAGCTGCCGCCTCCCCCATCCACACACACACACCAATAGAGTAGAAAAAGTACACTCCTGGGTCCTTGGCTCATCTGAATCATTTACAAAAGTTGACACCTCTGCTTGCAGGATAACAGAAGCACTAACCAAGATGGGGCGACCTCGCGAGACGCTCCAAATTAAGCTTTGAATAGTTAGTAGCTGCTTAGCTTCAAACCTTTTTTTAATGCTGCATTCGCACCATATTTCATTACGTGCCACGGCGACAGAGCCGGCAGCGGCGGGGGCCCATGACACAGTAGGCTTCACTGACGTCATGACCCTGTCTTGGGCCGGGGGTACATTGACATACGGACCAATCTCCGGCGAGGGCAGGAACAACAGAAATTCTGGTATGGAGAGTGATAAATGCAGCAGTTTGTAGGTGACAGCAAAATAAAACGCGTTGGAAGTGCAATGAAATATACATTGAGTACCCCAACACCAAGCAATGAAGCACATTTGAGATTGTAGGTACGCGCCGGTCGCACAGTTTTAAGCAGATGTTAACAAAAGGCAGGAAATTGGCACCGCAATAATCGCTAGTGGGCCAGCGATTTAGTGAACCAGTGTTACACCAGTGTTCCGTTTGTCATGATGAGAACCTGTGGCCCTCTCACACACATGAGATTCAGGCAGCGTTAACATTCGCGGCGGTAGCAGTCCTTGTTCGGCGACGAGCTGAATGGCGTCGCATGGATGCAGTTGTGATAAGCGTAGCATACCTGCTTTGACTTGTGTGAGGAGAAACTTCAGCTAAAATGAACACATTTTATAACCTAGTAGTACTGGAACCTTAACATGACAGTGACTTGGATGAAGATGGGCCTGATCGCGGAAAGCCATCAACTTCCTATGAGTACCTTCCCGCTCCTTCAACACACTATCACTTTAGTGCCGCAAGCTTCCTTTTGAATCATATCAATGCATGTCCGATTTAAGAAAGAAAAACCGACGGGACCATAGCTCCGATCAGCATTCTTTAAGAAAATAGCATACATCGCGGTGGAATCCCAGAGCTTGCAAGGCCATTCTGCATTACACCGCGTACTGTTAAAGTAGATGACGACTTAAATTAGCCAATAACAAGCATATATGAAAGTTAGTCTGCATTCTGACGGAAAACTAAAAATATCTAAAATTGGCGACTTCCGCTGACGTATCGCCGATTTTCCAGACATAAAGCACTAACGCAGTCATTAGAGCTGCCATTTTGCAGCCCGCAGGCCCACAACGTGCGGGCTTTAATTGCCCGCAGCGGTTTTGGTTGGTATCTGACAAAATTGCGGCCAGTGGCGGGTTTTCAAAATAGAAATTATACCAAATTGTGTATTTGCGAGACTAGGTTAGAATCAGTTAGCTGTTTTCTGAGCAGAATAAATACTCATGATAAGAAAAGATTTGCGAAATATTTCATAACAGAGCAGAAGGGTGTAATGTTTAGGGTTTCCAGATTCCAAACTGATTTTTTTCAAAAATAATTCAGTCATGATACATTCAGTCACCTCATGACCAGAACAATATGGCTTAAGCCCTGTACCACTAGTGCTTGTAATCACACTATACAAAATGCATACCGAGTGGTTGATTCCCCACAGATACCAAAAGACCGAAACCCGTTGTGAACATATCAAGATGTAATGGTGGTGAGAACACACGGTACATAGCAAGGCTGATAAGTTCAAGCGCTCGGGTCTTGCTCAAACAACAGACACCAGCAAACAGGTCGTGCACCAATTGAATGAAAAAGAGTTCCATTGGAGTTAAATCGCGTGCCAATGTCCGCCAAATCCACACCTTACCACCAAACCAGGCTTCACACTATGCAATTTAGATAAAGCAATAATGTCCTCTGTTGAGTGCACGCTAAGTATTGTGGTTTGACCGACGGTT